TCTCTCTCTCTCTCTCTCTCTCTCTCTCTCTCTCTCTCTCTCTCTCTCTCTCTCTCTCGTTGCGGGCAGTCCGCCGCCTCGCATCAACACCCATGATACCGGCAGTCCGTCGTCGCGTATCCACACAGAGTTGTCACCCCGCTTGAATCAAGCATGCAAGCCAGGTTCGCCCGTGCGCCACAATCTGTCGCGGCCCCGCACGTCAACCCCGCATACCCGACACCAGGTCGTCGGATCGCCCAACTCTCACGCTCACTCTCCTTCCAAACTTGCTCGTTAGCCGACCCTCAATGATCTCGCTAACCTCGAAATTCTTAGAGAGCAAACTAATCGCGCTTGCGAAATTTATAGCATGCATGCATGCGCGAAAGGTATGGGATTAAGCCCAGATGGACAAGAAGAGAAGAAAGGAAGTGACTACGTCCGCATGGCCAGGCCGCGGCGCGGGGGTCGTAGCCACTCTCCACGCATCGATCCGGTCATGCAGGCGCTTCGGCCAGTTAGAACAGAGCATGCGAGACGAGAAAGAAGAAGAAGAAGGCGGGCAACACAGGAGAACCAAGAAAGAAGAAGGATTACGGTTACGATCACGCCCGCCAAAAACGACAGTTGCACAAGATTAAAGGCACGATCCAGTCAGAACCCAGTTCCCCGCGCCACAAGATGCGTGCGAACGCTGCGCGGAAAAATTCAGAGTACCTAAATTTCTAGTTTAAATCCTAATTGCAAAAGGAAATTCCGAAAAGAAAAACAATTTCGAAAGCCCGCGGGGGCTCGACATCAGTTAAAAATTCAAAAATAAAAATTCTCGCGCGCTAATCACGCCAAAATTCTTAATGCTCACAGCAGAACAAGGAAGAAGCTATGGTACAGTTATTTCTTGCGCCCCTCATGGCGCAGCCATCCAATCGTCGGCGCGGGGCTTTCCCGACGCCAGCCCAACGAATTCCAACAAAAACGAAAAGGAAGCGAGGGTATCCATGCAATTTGCCCACCCGAACCCCGCTTACGCCCGTCACCCATCAAAAGCCCTCCCGTTCTATGTTGCACACCCAGCCGCGGCCGGGGGGTCCGAATCGGCCGCGGCCTAGGCCGATGACCGAATCGGCCCGGTTCGGCCCAGGCCGACCTGCCGAGATCGGTACATTAATTGTTTTTCCCATTTTTTACGTGTAAAAAAAAATAAATATACATATATATATATATGGGCGTGTAGGGCTGGAAAAGCCCTACACTCCCATATTTTTTTTTTGGGTGTCCGACCTTCGGCGCGGCGCAGAAAAAAAAAAAACAGAAAAAAAAAAAAAGGCCCGGKGGGCCATTTTGGCCCTGTTTCGGTGCCACCGAGTGAGGGGCACCGTGTGGGCAGTGGGCAGTGCGGGGAGGGTCGTGGGTCCAGGCCCAGGCCATGACAAAACTGTTGTAGTTTCAGATAAATGCTACCATTTAACTGAAATGGCAACAGTTGTTGCTGTTGCCGTTATGCTGCCGAAATGCCTGCTCGCCACTTAGAGAGAGAGAGAGAGAGAGAGAGAGAGAGAGAGAGAGAGAGAG